AAAATCGAAAAATTCAGTGTCGAAATTCAATCCATATAAAACCTGTGCTTAATTTGATAATCGATGTCAATTAAGGTGTTATTTCCTTGGGAGTCCCAAGTTGGGACCATCATTTGTCGATGATGCTGTTTCCTGGCGGAAAGGTAGGCCCACTTGAGGGTGTTAACAACTTAACAGGCGTAGTAGTAGTGGCAGTGGCAGTAGCAGTGACAGTAGTAGTGGCAGTGGCAGTAGTAGTAGTAGTAGTAGTAGTGGCAGTGACAGTAGTAGTAGCTGGGGCAGTAGCAGTGACAGTAGTAGTGACAGTGGCAGTAGCAGTAGTAGTAGTGGCAGTGGCAGTAGTAGTAGTAGTGGCAGTGGCAGTAGTAGTAGCAGTGACAGTAGTAGTGACAGTAGTAGTGGCAGTAGTAGTAGTAGTGGCAATGGCAGTAGTAATAGTAGCGGCAGTGATAGTAGTAATAGTAGTGGCAGTGGCAGTCAGGGGCGGCGCAGAGGGGGGGGGGGCTATTATTTGCAAGAAAAGGGAAAGAAGAAGAAGAAGAAGAAGAAAAAGAAAAAGAAAAGGAAAAAGAAAAGGAAAAAGAAAAGGAAAAGGAAAAGGAAAAGGAAAAGGAAAAAGAAAAAGAAAAGGAAAAGGAAAAGGAAAAGGAAAAAGAAAAAGAAAAAGAAAAAGAAAAAGAAAAGAAAAGAAAAGAAAAAGAAAACGAAGAAGAAGAAGAAGAAGAAGAAAAAGAAAAAGAAACATCTTGCAAATGATAGGGGAGGTCAAAATGAGATCAATGATATCAATTGAGGTCAATCAAGGTGGGGGGGGGGTTAATATGTATCCAAGCTGTGTCAGATATGGTAATTTTATGAATATTAATGAACCCTCACTGTTATCGCGGATATTTTTGACCAATCAGAGACGTCTAGTCTGACTGTGTTTACAGACTGGAATAGTAGCGGCAGTGGCAGTGATAGTAGTAGTGGTAGTATAAAACGACTGACAGGTACAGTTACATTGCAGCACTAGCCGTCCTATTACTACTACAAACTTCGATTATTCCCGTTGTTTCTACCGTATAATTGCGCGGAAGGTAAACAGTATCTCACACCGACGTTTCATTGCAGGAACAGAAGATGGCCTGCCGACGAGACACGCTTACTTTGTACGAGGAAACCTGCGCATAGACAGGGTCAACCCCCGTGACGTGGGTATCTATGTATGTACCGCCTCCAGCGGCGACAAGTCCGACACCGCCAAGACCGAACTCATCGTACACGGTAGGTTGAAGCGCGGAAATCTTGTAATAGTACATGATCTGCCTGCATGGGTGTTCCTTCTCTGCTGATGTTCTTCATCTGCCTACTGCCGTTCCTTCTCTGCCCTGCAGTGACATTCCTTCTCTGCTGATGTTCCTTATTTGCCTGCACTAATGTTTCTTCTCTGTCTGTATTGATGTTCCTCATCTGCTGATATTCTTTCTCCGCGTACTGACTTCCTTCTCCACCTGCTGACTTCCTTCTCCATCTACTGACTTCCTTCTCCACCTGCTGACTTCCTTCTCCACCTACTGACTTCCTTCTCCACCTACTGACTTCCTTCTCCATCTACTGACTTCCTTCTCCACCTACTGACTTCCTTCTCCATCTACTGACTTCCTTCTCCACCTACTGACTTCCTTCTCCATCTACTGACTTCCTTCTCCACCTACTGACTCCCTTCTCCACCTGCTGACTACCTTCTCCACTTACTGACTTCCTTCTCCACCTACTGACTTCCTTCTCCACCTACTGACTTCCTTCTCCACCTACTGACTTCCTTCTCCATCTACTGACTTCCTTCTCCACCTACTGACTTGCTTCTCCATCCGCAGTTAAGCCCAAGATCACGAAGGTGCCTAGCAACCAGGAGTACCAGACGGGCAAGAACGTTCGCTTCATCTGCGAAGCATCCGGCGTTCCCGCGCCGACGATCACTTGGCTTCGGGACGGACGCCCCGTCAAGAACAACGGCCGCATGCGCATCACCGCCCAGCGCCAGCTCGTCGTCTCCCAGTCGATCGCCAACGACAGCGCCATCTACCAGTGCGTCGCGTCGAACGTCGTCGGCACGGCGACGGCGGCTGGCGAGGCGCGCATCAACATCTCGGAAGACGAGCCGGATCCGCCGGAGGGACTCGTCGCGTACGCGCTCTCGAGCACCGGCATCAACGTCACGTGGGATCCGTCGCCGCCGCGCAACGGCAAAGACATCATCGCTTACTCGCTGCACTACACGCCGACCGCCGGTAGGTGTCGCCGGTGTCTCCACGCTGTGCTGAACTAGTCGTTGTTTGTAGGAAGCGTGCTTGCGCGTGTCATGTCTGTGCTGTGTGTGTGTTGTGCTTGTGTGTTATAGCTAAACTTGTCGTTGTTTGCAGGAAGCGTGCTTGCGCGTGTCATGTCTGTGTTGTGTGTGTGTTGCGCTTGTGTGTTATAGCTAAACTTGTTGTCGTTTTCCTAAAGAGACGTACGAAAACGACGTGCAGGCGTGTGTCGTGTGTGTGTTGTGCGTGTATTGTTGTGTAGTCGTGTTTGCGTGTTCTAGTTGTCCTTGCCGTCGTTCTGTTTGAAACTAGTACGGCCCTTACGGAAAGCGTACTTGCGTTTGTCGTGTCTGTGTTGTGTGTGTGTTGTCCGTATTGTCATGTTTGTGTGTTATAGTCACCCTTACTGTGGTTAGTACTGGTTACCCTCTAAACTAGTACGGCCCTTACGGAAAGCGTACTTGCGTGTGTTGTGTCTGTGTTGTATGTGTGTTGTCCACTTGCCCTTGTTGTTATGTTTGTGTGTTGTTGTTACCCTTACCGTGAATGCGCTTGCCATAGGTAGTCTTACTGTGGTTACCGTTTCATCCGTACAAAATGTGGTTATATGTGACGTTTGTTTCCATTATAGCCGTGTTTATATTTCATAGTTATGCTTACCATGGTTTCGCTTACGATAGCCACCCTTACTGTGGTTATACCCTGACCTTAGTTACTCTTATAATATTGAAAATTAAACGTGAGTGAGTGAAAGTTTCCATTTTGTGCGATTCCGAGCATAGCCTAACTGAAACTAAGTGTCAGGTGTAAAATATTGCAATTTTACTTTACATGAATCAATAATTAAAAACTGTTAATTGTTGCATGGTTGGGGGCAACTGTAAAATAATTTTTTATATAAATATTTCTGATTAACATTAAATCACATTTCTTTTCTCATAGCATAATTTATATCTATTTTAACTGCAAATGTGAATTAAACCTTCAATAATATTTTCTTTTAAACCCACACCAACTGCTATAAGGGAAGGGTGTCATATTGGTCACGTAGAAAAAAATACACGTCAAATTTGATCATGAGGGGTCAGAGTATATATAGCATCCTTCAAAGCGACGTCAGGAAATATTTCAAATGCTTTTCATTACAATTGGTTTCTTAGTTGCGATTTATGCTGTAGTTATAGCTGCTATATCTGTGCTGTCACTATGTGCTGTCACTGGTTGTCACATACAGTGTATCAACAGTTCTGTGTATGTGGGTATGCCGGTTTGCCACTTTCACTTTTTAGCTGTTGGCCCGTAAACAGTAAACACTGTGTCACCGCCCTAAGCTGCCTATTGTGTTCGTAATCTGTTGGGAGTACGTGTTGATAAGTATTTAGATATTAGAAAAACTGTGATGTAGGAAAAATCCATGCTCTGAGAATACCGGGGGAATTTTCCCACTACCAGATCAAAATACTCGCAGTGGGCCAGTTGTAAAAGAGTTCAAGGTCGTAGCGTACTTCTTTGTTCTCGTGGAAACGGTTTCGTGTGGGTGCTGCCACCTAGTGGAGCATGTTGCAGACATTCTGTTACATTTGAACAATGTACAGTACAACATTATTGCAAGAGCATGTCAGCTGAGCCACATGTGGATTATATTTCATGATTATCCTCTATGTTAATGAAATCACATTGCAAAATTTTTGGGGTAATGCTGATAACACATGTAAATTGGATTATATTATATTATAATATGAGTTGAGCTTAACTCTGTATGGTATGAAATATTGTGTAAACAAGGAAAATCTCTCGTTGTGTTTTCTAGGTGGCTTCGAAGGCCAAAAAGTTGGATACTTAACAACGTTGGTAGCAGACGAGTTGGAACCTTACACCAACTACACATTTTATGTGGTCGCCTACAACAGGCCAAGTGCGAGTCGGCACAGCAAGCTTATCACAGTGATGACAGATGAAGATGGTACATCCTTGTCCCCTGTTATTTAAAATTGGCTTCGAAACCATCTGTTTTAATGGCTGAATTGTGCCTATTTATTTGGTCCTGAACCGAGTGTGTGCGATACCATGTATCGGTGGGGCATCTATCATTTCCTAAGTGTTCAACTGTTATTTTGCATTCAATACCATGTCAATGCAACCGACTGATTTAATTCCGTATAAATAATAAATGGCATACGTTATTATAATTTATTATAAAGAATATTACTAAAATAATAGGGAGTTATGTGTACATCGTAGCATAGTGAAACCTCTATATAAGGATCACTTGATGGAAACCCGCGCAATATAATATAAAGTGTCCTTTATAGACTGTTCAGTTTTATAAAGGTGGTTTCACTGTACGACTGCCACTCGAGCACAGCCCTTCAGGTGTCTGTTATAGACAGTTTTCTATTCTGTAGCGGTCTACTAACACAGGTTTGACATTAACATAACCTATTACCAGAGCCCTGTAGCCCTGGAGACCTTGAGGCTTTCAACCACCGTGCCAAGTCCCGTGTGCTGCAGTGGCTGGGCCGAGTGTAGTGTAGTGATCCGAGAAGAAGAAGAAGAAGATTAACGTAACCTTTCCTGTTATATTAGTTCCCAAGGCTGCTCCCAGCGTCTCCCTCACGTCGGTCAACCCGACAACGTTGGACATTGCCTGGGACCAGCTATCAGCGGAGATGGCTCGCGGGGATCTCACACAGTACAAGCTGGAGTACCGCGAGCACGACGAAGCGTCCGTCTATCCACTCATCATCCACGGCGGTGACAAGCTCTCCTATAGACTCACAGGTAAGCTCCTGATCGAGGTAAATTTCTTACCAAGACGGAACAGAGATGCCAACCGCTACGATTTATCCGTATTTTATACGAATTTCGATTCCTTTTGCACCACTACGACCAGTTTGTATCAAACTACGAATTTGACTGTGATCGGAAAAAAAAAAAAATTTTGACCTTCAGAATGCAGGAAATTGCATCTCAGAATCAAACAATTTTTCGGGGGGGCATGCGTCACCTTCGAACTACTAATTTGATGACCAGAAACTACAGATTGCTTCAAATATGTGTTGGCATCTCTGCTTTTGGTTTTTCTCACAAACGAGGTTCCTTTCTTCTCATCAACTACGCAGTCCTGTACTAAAGACGTATTCGTGATCAGTTTATAGCAGTGGTTCTTGACCTTTTTTGACTCATGGACCCCTTGAGAATCCGGTGAAAGCTACGGACCCCTCCCCAGAAAAATGCACATAAGTACATTTTTAAACAAAATTTTTGCATGCGCCTGGGTTCGCAGACCCACTGAAGCCCATCCACAGACCCCAGAGGGGTCCATGGACCACAGGTTAAGAACCCTTGGTTTATTGCGTAAGCTCCTGTTCGTGTTAAATTTCTTAGCGACACTTCTATTTGTGATGTTTATTTGGGCTATTGCTATAAATCAGGTTATGGGTATGTGCACTGTTCATCATTTCAGTATTTGGAAGTATAGTAAGTTTGCAGTATCACAATGGTATTGTTGTATTAGCTTGATAGAGAGAAGTTTATACATTTTAAGAAAGGAACATTTAATGTTTGGTGCTAAAATGTTATTAAAAATGTTATTGTCTATTTATTATTTTTGAAAAATTACCAAAATGTTGCTGTTGAAAAAATGGAAACACACACTTTTATCTTATTTCATCTCCTTCCAGATCTGACACCGAAGGTGAAGTATGACGTACGTATCTTAGCCGGTACCAGTAAAGGCTTCCCTACAGATCTAAAGGAGAAGGATCGGCCATGGGTGACACAAGAGATGCCAGACTGGAGTGCCAGCAAGAGTAAGCATTCTGCTGTTTTTCATGCAGTTAATATCGCGATCTCTTATGAGTAACTTATATTTTTGTTTGTGACAGTTATTATAAAGTTGACCCCTGAATGTAAAGGGTCACTGTGGTGAAACTTCAATTGTCCTTTATAGACAGGTGTCAGCTCAGAACAGGTGGTTTCTCTATATAACTGCCACTCAAGAGAAATACCAAAAGTGTCCTATGTAGGTGTCCATCTAGAAAGAGTTGAGCATTAATGTCGTAATCCGTTATGAAGTTGTAAAGAACTGCATGGTTTTTTCAGTTGTGACATTTATTATATTTATATTGTCACTATTTGCTCTTGCAGTCCCCCCACCATCATTGCATCTGAGTCAAGTGAATGGCACGACACTTCACGTAGTATGGGAAGAGACATTGCCTTCCCTCAACATCAGTGGTTACAAGCTAAGCTACACAGCTGCGGGTAGGGTTGTGGGACCACTGCTGATCCCATCTGACGTTAACCAGTGGACACTCAATAACCTGGGTAATTGCATTTGTTATTAATCTCAACATGTTGTTCTATAATTGCAATTATATCGCTTGTCACGCCTGCAGATTTCTCATCCGGCTTTAATAGCCAGTAGTATAAAAGTTAGAGACAACTGTTGCTGATTGCAATTTTTCTGCAGTGTAAGCCAGTTATGTGACGTTCGTTTGAAGGTGATTGTAAAGTGTTTGTTTGTATATATATGCATTTCAGAGGCTGAGCAGTTCTATGAGGTTCGACTGCTGGCTTACAGGAACAGTGTCGATGGCTTGGAACAAGTGAAAGGCATCCAGCTGGAACCCACTGCTGGTATGTGACTATGTTAATTGTTATATGCCTAACTGTTCATTTACGTATTACTCTCCCTGTCTAATTGTTAGTTGGTAGTGTACTTAATAGTGGGAATCATAGTAGTACTTAATGGTAGACGGGGGTTGGTAGATTCTCTACGTCCCAAAGTTGCTCAATGCTTCTAGTATATATATACGTCACTATATTGATTGCAGCTTTTTCGATTAATCTACTCTTCTTGCAACATATTGTATGTTTGTATCTATTGTTATTAATCGTGTAAGCAATTTGTCACTTCTCCTGACATAATTGTCATATCAAGTACATAAATAAATCTATAGGGTAGTCATACGTTTTATTGATATTTGCCACTGCTATTAGAATACTGACTAAGCAACCTTTGCAATTCAACTTGGGTCAGCAATGATGTGAAGATTATATTTTATCATCTTCTAACAGTTACGGATGTTTTTGCAATATTTTCAGATCCCGTTCCCTTGATTGATCCGACGAAGATCAAGGCCGTGGAGCCGCCCGCTCGCGTCACCTGTGAGAAGGAGTTCATTACAGCGCACAGTATTAAGTTGTCGTGGAAACGGCCTCTCTCGGCGAGAAACATAACGCTGTACACGATTCGATACAACCCGGTCGGCACGAAGAATGCATCGCTTACTCAGTACATCCGCAGGTTAGTGTAAGGCATAAGTGCCTGACTGCAGCACACTGACTGAAGAACACAATTTTTTTACCCCAATTGCTGACTGTATTTAGTATAAAATTTATGAAGTCTTAACAGAAAATATATTCCAGTGCATCTGCAGGTTGGTTTGATGCATAGATGCCTGACTGTAGCTTTATGATGGAAATCTGTGGGGGAAGGGAGGTTCACGTTATTTAAAAATTCTGCATTACGTAAAATTCTTATGAACACCTACATTTTGTAACTGTGTAACCAAGGGGTGACTGTATGTAGTATGATATTTGTGAACCTTTACACAGAATATATTCGTGAACTCTCTCTTACCTTATTGACGGTTTTTTATATGGTTAAAAATATAATTGTGGATGTTTAAGTTTTGAAAAACTGGTGCTGCTTATCCATGTTTGACTTTATCTTCAAGAATTGAAAAAAATTGGAATGTGATAATTACTGGGCTGATAAAAGGTGTGTAGTAATTCTAATGAATGACAATCGCCTCCGTTTCAGTAAAAACCTGTCTGAAGTTGTCGCTGGTCTAGCACCGAACACCAGATACGAGTTTGCTGTAAAGTCGCACGATGACAGAGACTTGGTAGGGCCCTACAGCAACCACTCTGAGTGTTGGACGCTGGAAGCAAGTGAGTTTATCCTCCTATGTTTGTCTCTTCGTGAATCGTACAGTTATACCTGTATGCAGGGCAATTCAACCAAGGGGAAAATCCGAAAGGGTCTTTAAAAGACGGCTGTCTGCTATTTAGAGGTGGTTTTGCTGCATTACTACCACTCGAGGCAAATTCCAAAAGTATTTTTGATAGATTAAGTCTTCATTTTACGGAGATGACTGCAAATACAGGTTTGACTGTATAATCACCAAGGCTGTCGATGAGTTGATGATTTTATTTGTTGTCATATGATTATATTTAGGCCGTGGCTACGCGTCCGGTTACCGGACGCCCAGCTCCCAGACTACGCGTCCGGTCATATATTTCTTATGTGAACCCAACTATATTTTTTTTAGTAAAAAACAATAAACAATAAGTTTTTACCATAATATTACTTACCTTTAGGTATTTTATCAAAAAATGTGTTTTTGTAACTTTTGAAGCAATAGTAAATCCAGTAAAATCAACGATTTGAAAGGTGGCGTGGCCTAATCGTGGACATGGCGTTTGGCGGATCTGTGCTGAGCTTTGTAAGGGTGATGACGCGCGACGCGTAGCGCACTGGTTATATTTCAATCTATATTGCTCTATCTGACATTAGTCCGTGATATAAATATACCTTATGTGATAGTCGGTATGTATGCAGTCATCGGTATAGCGAAAAAGTCATCACTGTGCTGAGACAATTGGAGGTCAGCAGGTCACTAAGGGCAGTGGGGGAAAAGGTCATATATTCAGACATTTTTGAGGACGTGGGCTAATGGACAGAGTAGAGAAATTTTTTTTTCATCACTGACCTCACCATTTTTTACACTTTATTGAAGACATGAAATGTGCTTTCATGGACGTGCGCAGAGAGTTTCTGATAACGTTTTGCCTCTCAAGGGAGGAGGTTAACATGGATTACGTGGAAGCTCGCCTCAGATTGAGTTCACAGTGCTTCATATCATGGCACATCCATCAATCTGGAAAGCCAATATGCCTGCGATAGCCGCCATGGCTACAGCACAGGATAGATGGCTCCAATAGGTCTTGGACGAATACCCATCAGAATTTTAATTATTACCTGATTTCTATATTGTTCTATCTTTATTCAATTAACTTTTATTCACATGAGGTAAAATATTTACCATTGTTTAATTTACAACAATTTCATAACAACTCAAATAATTTTTACAACAATAATAATTAAAAAAAAATAGGGTGTGTTCACATGCACCATAAAACAGGATCGTTTCTAGGACACACGATTTGTATCGAACAATTGGGACTTTGCGGAGGTACTGCAGAATGCAGAAGGTGCTGAAATGCATGTCGTACGCACTTGATATCTGCATATCTGCTGCCTAACAAACGGTGTCACATACGCACGACTGAAATGTTACGTTTATAACCGTAGCAACAGACCTCAGATGAGCCCAGACGCTCTGCGGCTCTTGTTATATTTATATTATTATTTATGTTTATACGCCGCGTGAATCTCCACAGTTCCGGGGAAACCTCTCGATCCGGCGTGCATCCTGAAGACTCCTGACACCATCAGCATCACGTGGATGCCACCGATGGAGCCGAACGGGGACATCATTGCTTACTGCATCTGGTACACAAACCAGGGAGCAAACCTTCCGTTAGAGTACTGGAGCAACAAAACCGTCGTAGGTAGGCATCGCAGGCTGAACGTGAACATTGAGGGAAGCTTGGTATGTCAACCTAATACAAATGAAAAATACAAATTCTGGATTACCAGAATTGCTCACAGACTACCAGACTACCAATTCTGTCTTACACTGGCTTACCGATTACTATTGCTTCATTTCGATAATCCATCTACCGCTGTTTTTTCTATACGCAAGTTTTTGTAAACATGAAAGCATTACAAAAACAAAATTGTCTGATGCAGGCACAGAGCGGAGAGTCGTGCTTGATGAGTTGAAACCCAGCAGCAGGTACTGGGTTAAGGTCCAAGCAGAGACGTCAGCGGGGGCCGGAGAGCCTTCGAAGGTCCTCACCATCACCTTGCCAGTCCAGAACAGCCACATTTATCCCAACAGTAACGAGGACAGTGCAGGTGAGTCGCCCGGGCCGCCCACTCCGAGGTCGGAGGGACCGCATGCGCGTTCCCAAAATCTCCGGTAAAGGGGTATTTTTCGTGCGACAAAATTCGGCCCAAGAATTGTAAAAAAAAAGGGGGTGTATTTGACTTTTCACCCGGAGATTTCTTTAAAAAGGGGGTGTTTTTCCTCTCTCTCTTTCATCTTGAATATCATAGAAAACTTTATCAAATCCCGGGATCAAATTCCTAAAATTCCTGCTAGTTTTGAAAGCTCATTCAGGATTATTTCGGATTTAGGGGGGTCTCCAAGGCAGGAAAAACTTGCAAAAAGCCCGCGAAAGGAGGGTTCAGAAATTTTCGCAGTCCTGAGATAGGGGGGGGTGCTTTTAAAGGGAGGGAACGAGCATATGCGTACACTAAATAACACTGAGTGGGGGGGCCGGGACACCATGATGGCCTGGTTAATGTTTGTCTGCTATCTATGATTGATCTATGATACACAACTACGTTGTGGGGGGGGGGGGCGCCATGATGGCTTGGTTAATGTTTGTCTTTTAAAAATGATTGTTGAAGTTTATTGCAATTGTTTCAATTTTAATGTAGTTTAATGGTTATTGTTAGTATTTAGTATTTATTATGATGAGTATTTTGTGTGATGAAAGCCATCCACAGTTTTGGTTAAGCAAAACCGTTTGTATTTTGTCCTTTTTTTATCTTGGCTTTCTACTTGTTGTGTTGGCATGTGACAGGGTTGGTAGAGGGTGCTAGCACCATTAACTGCGTAAAATAATGCTGGTGTTTGAAATAGCCCCTCGTCAATCATCATATGTTGTGCCAAAAGCTTGTGGTCAAGCCCATGTTCTATCCCATCAAGCGTTTGTGTTTAAACTGTGTAGGAATTCAATTGCTAGCTAACAGTAGTACGTACCTAACTATACTTTCCTGTGCAAATGTTGTGTGGGGATGGCTTTCCTATATCGCCACAGAACGTACGGAATGATGGTTGAAGGCGTTATGTATGATATCCAGAGAGACATGATACAAGATTGCGTGGCACAGCTTTGCTGTTGATCCCGAGCGCTGCGCGCGGATGAGACGCGCAGTTCCACGGGATATGCGCACGCGACCGCGGGGATGTTCAAGTATGAAGCGCTGTCCGCAGTGGAGATGTGCGGCAAATTTGAGGTCCGGCGCACGTCTCCACAGCAGTCAGCGGATGGTCTGTAGTTTTAGAAGATAGCAATGAAGACTTTGTTCTAAATAAGAACTTTCGGCGGCTAAATAAGAGCAATATACAAACCTTTGAATTGCTTGACTAGTCAGTCAAAGGGCTTGTTGGGGGTCCATTATGCAGAGCTTCTAATTGAAATGGCCCATAAAATTGTCAAGTGGAATTGTGTTTTTCGGAACTCCAAAGAAAATGTCTCCCTCTTACATGCACCCCCTCCTTGATCAATCACGCATTCAGGACGTATGTGAAACGGTTAGTACTTACTGTGACATATCTGTGACTAACTGACACCACTAAATTGGTAAAATGTTCCATGCACCTTAAGAAATGCTGAGAAATTACTAGGTTATCATCGCAGAACTCCCAAACACAGTACGTCACAAAGCTATATGTAAACAAATATGCTGTTGCGAGGTGCCTGCCTCCGATATCCATTTTGAGGCCCGCTAAGCCAAGCATAAAGCGAGCGGGCAAGACGTCACACACACAGTTACGAAAATTTTCCACTTTGATGCGAAATGCATCGGCCCGGCATTTCATTATTTACGAAAAGTAAACAGGCTGGCGAAAGACAGTAGGTACAGGAACTGGTCACGTCGGTGACGCCCCATCCATGTCCATCAACGAAGAAGGCAGGGCTTATTCTGATTACGGAGATGCGAAAATGCAACAGAAGGACATAGCACAGTGCGCTAAACAGCGTGTTATTTTCGTATTTGTGGCAAACTCTATCGAAGGAAACCATTCTAACATAGCAGAATGCCCTAGTTCCTGAGATCGGCGATTTGGTGGTCCAATGGGTCTCCATCTTTAAAAATATAAAAGACTGGTGCGGTGCATACTGTGATTGGAAGACACAAAGTGTCAATCCTCGGCGCGCCTCGGCATCATGGCCGCATTACGTCGAGTAGTGCTTACTGTTATCGTTAACTATTTATACACAGCGTATTCCATAAGCATTAACTTAAGGAAATCTTTGCTGCTGCTGTTGACAGGCATATCGGGTGAATCTGGACAGAATGGCAAGCTGGGGGACACAAGTATTGGCATCATTGTTGGAGTTGCCATCGGGGGTGGCTGCATACTTGTATGCGCTATCATACTCCTGTTCAGAAATCGGTAAGTGGTTCCTTCACAGCACACTGTGTGCTGTTTAGCTGTGGTGCTACCTGTAACCAGTGTTTTTGTGAGAGAGAGCTTTTATGCTTAGCTTTAATGTAGTACTAAGGTCCTTATAAAATGCAACTGGCATCATAGTACAGTCAAGTCTATATAAGGGGCAGTCAAGGGAAATCATATGCCAAAAATGCAACGGAGGTATGCTATGAATG